GTTGTTCAAGACTTTGCCTTCATCCTTGCAACAAATGGCGATGACCATCGCGTCCAAGACGCAGTGAATGGGGTGTCCAGAGCCTTTGTAGATGACTTGCTCTTTCAGATCCCGTCGACCTATGCTTTTGTTCCACTTCCCAATTACAGGGCTTTGAACGAGTATTTAAAGAAGTGATTGTTGATTGTACTTAATTGATTCGATGAATTATATATATATCTTATTCTATTTTATAGAACAAAAATTAAAACTCTTTCAATGAACTATCAATTTTTTTAATTTTTTATTATTATTTAAATTATTCAAATGAAGTGTTGGTATAAAAAAAGAAAACTTTTGTTAACAAAGCTTCAAACAATTCATCCCGATTTCTATACGAAAAATGAGATGTTTGTTTAATAGAAATTAAAAAAAATGATTGTGAACCAACCCTAAATGAAACCACTCACAAAAAATGAACGAAAAACACCGAAAGAACAGTTAAAGGAGTAAACATTTCCCGCTTTTTCCATCTTTTTTGTCTTTGGCATCCTTTTTCTCTTTGCCCTTCTTACCACCTTTCTGGTTGGCGGCTGTTACGGCAATGAATTTTGCGTTAAGGAGTTTCATAATTTCGTTGTATGTCTCCTTGGTGTTGTCACCCGTTTTGCTTGAGATCTCAAAGAGTTGAGCATTTACGTTGGTAGCCACAGTTTGGGCCTCTTCCTTAGTAAATTCTTTTGTCTCTTCATCGGAAAATGTCACAATAAGAGATTTCAAGTAATCACCACCGATGTACCTGTCACCATAAGATAACCAGTTTTTGCAGTTATTGAGGGAGTCCTTGCTTTTATAACTACACACAGCGGCAACCATATTTGCGTTGTTGAAAAAAGTAGCCGTCATGCCGGAATCATCGCCTTGTTGGTCCATCACAGTCAACATAATCTTGTTTCCTTCATATGTAATTTCTTTAGTGACCTTTCTGTGAGTGCTTGACAAATAAAATAATAAGACAAACAGCCGGGTTGTCGTATGGTTGGGGTTCTTCCGAAAACGTGTCGTCCAGCATACGTCTGACAAACGATGTTTTTCCTGTTTTCTCATCACCCATCACACAGACTTTTAATGTCAAGTCGTCCTCTTTTACGGCCATAGTGTTTTTCTCTTTTTTAGTTCCTTTTTGGTTTTAAAATTTAACTTTTTTTCTTGTTTAGAGATGGTATCGTATAGCTTTCTTTTTAATTCGTTGCTCGTTTTTTCTTCTTCTCTGTTCCAAGCAAAAATAAAAAGTTCTTCTAAAAATTCTCTATTTTCGATTCATTTTTACCATTCCGATCTGGTTCTTTTGTTATTATATTGTGGTTTTTTATTTAATGTTCAATTTCCACTTTTTACTCCAATAAAATTTGACTTTTCGTTCAAACAATTTCGGTCGCGTTATGAAATAATAGGGAAGTTAAGTGGAAACAGTGGGAACAAAATAACCCAAAATAAATTACATTTACTTAATCGATAAGCTGAATAATGGGTAATTGGCTGATCTTTTCTCTTTGTATTTTTAGGGCTTGAGTGCAAATAGTGGGTTTTCAACCTGTTTTTTAAAGGATTGTCAGAACAAATTATAAGTTCTTTTTTTTATAAAACGACACTTAACTTGTATTTTTTAAACATCTAAAAAAACAACTAAATTGAAAATAAATCTAATCAAACATTTCAACAACTAAAAGTAATATATCTTTTTGTTGTGGAGCATAGTTTACCTATTTGAAGTCTTGAAGTTTGTCCTCTAGTAAAGTAATTAATAAAATATAGTTTAAAATGATTTGTTCTTGTATAATCTATATGCTTGAATGAGAAGAGACAAAAAACATTGTTTTGAAAAACAATTTTATTTTTGATACAAGTATATTTATTTATATACCGAAATTTAATATATATTTTGGGTATTTGGCTAAAAAACAATTGTTGTCTAATTTTTGTTTTTGTTATAAGTTTAAAATTTTTTTCAAAACAGTTTCAAACATTAAAACAATCTATAAAACGTTTTATTGATTGTATTTTATTTTAAAAAAAATTAGTTTGATTATTATAAATAAATTCGATAATAAAATAACAAAACAAATTTTAATAAATTAATATTTTTTTTTGGTGTATTATTATATAGTATTTTTATTATAATCTTATATCAACTTTTGAAATACAGTAAGTTGGTATATTATATTATACTATATTAATGAAAATAAATTTGAGTAGTTATTTCTAATTTTCATTGATAAAAATATAAACACCTTTCAATTATTAATAGTATAGTTTATTTTTTATTATTTTTAACTATATAATGATATACATAAAAGTAACTAGAATTAAACAACGATTATAGTAATAAATTGTTTTAAAAAACTTCTAAAAAATAGCATGTCAGGGAAACACCAAGTACTTGTAATTTTGGGTCCAAGTGGGGTTGGTAAGTCGACCCTCGTTTCTCACTTAATGGAACAGTTCCCAAATAAATTTTCATTCAGCGTTTCCCACACGACTCGAAAACCACGTGGTAAAGAGAGAGATGGCGTCGAGTACAATTTTATCACTGAAGAAAAGATGAAAGAGATGATCAACAACAACGAGTTTGTCGAACATGCCCATGTTCACACTGCTTTTTATGGTACTTCTCTGCAGGAAATTAAACGGATTAATGCTAACCACCAAATTGCTATATTGGACATCGACGTACAAGGAAGTAAACAAGTCCGTGGAAAAGTCGACGCATTCTATTTATTTGTTGCGCCGCCATCAATGGAAGTTCTTGAACAGCGATTAAGAGGAAGAAACACAGAGACTGAAGAACAAATCAAGGTCAGACTGGCCAACGCAATTAAAGAGATGGAAGGTGAGAAGGATGCTGATTATGTTATTGTCAACACAACAAGGGAAGCTACCTTCCCCGAACTTGACAAGGTCATTCTCCAACATTTCGACGTTTAACTACGTGCTTCTTACGTGTTGTTTTCTTTTTATAAACCTTTGGTATTTTGAGAAGTGAATTGCACCCTCCATTACCCAATCATAAGATATGTACTATTATTTTAACAAACAAACTATTACATATAATACAATAACTTGTTTTGATATTTCTTATTATAGTGTTTTGATAATATAATAACAAAATAATTGTTTTTAATACATATGAAGGTTATGGAGTTTTAGTGATAATGGTATTGGATATCTGTTACTGATTAGATTAAAAATATTATACAAAATAGTTGAATAATTAATAAAGTGATAAATACAAAAAACAAGGCAAAGCAACTTTTGGGCGCCTTGACCACACGAAAGTCAGAAACACACACAAAGAACAAACTTTTTTACTATAAAAAGTTAAGATTGGCAAATAAAAGGAGTTGTCTTGAAACTGAACAGAATAAATCATGCCGTCACCAGTTGGTTTCTTCAAGGCAAATGTCGCTTCAAATAAGTCTTTCTACGTTGTTTCCGCATTTTCAATTGTTGCTCTCCTCCTTGCTCTTGTAGCAACTGGATACCAATTTTCACTCTTCGGTGATACTGAAAGAGATGGTGAATACTATGTTTGTCGTATTACTTCTTTTCCTCGATAGAATAAGAGAAATGGCATAAGGTTGACAAATAGATGAATTTGAGCAAAGGACCACTTGATGGGACATGTGGCGCAAAACCGTTTTCGGAACACTTGCCGTTGGAATTTACATACCACATTTCAACGGGAGACCTGAGCTACAAATGCATGCCGCCACTTTTCTTCCAAGTCATTTGCCACTTGGCCGTGACCATCACGTTGGTTGGACTTTCATTAGCGTCGTATCTTTTCGGCATTTTGGTAGTGCAGAGAAAGGCTTTTGTGTTCTTATTTGGGTATATACTTATTTCCATCTGTATGATCCGTGTCGGTATCACAGAGATCGTGATTTCCATTGGTTCAAATAACTTTTGTAAGAACGAATTGTTATCCTCTGTCAAATTCAACTCTCCGACCGGCATAGTTCCAACGTCCGTAAGTTGCTACTTGACACATTACATTGTCTTTGGCTTTTATGAAGTGATAGTCGGCATTATCAGCGTACTCCACTCCATCATTCTCTCCTTCTTCTTTATCAACTATTTCAAGTTGAAACAAAAACAAAAGGAAGACGAGCAAAAACCATATGAAGATGTTAAGTTCGATGACAAAGGTCATGTCGTCTCGGTGACTGACGACGTTAAACCCACCACAACTGGGACAGTCGCAGTCGAGTTGCCAGAATCGAACACAGCAGTCGAACAACCGACAGTCAATGACGCCATCACAGAACACGCTGTACTTGCTGGTTAATTATGTCTCAATTTTATTTGTTTATTATTGAATTATAGACTATACCTGATAAACAATAACATTAAATAGTAACAACAACGTTGATTACGATTATATCGCAGAGC